TTTTTTTGCGGAACTTTTTGCCCTTCATTTTGTCTCCCAGATGTAAGTCAAACTCTTTTTATGTCCTAGATTATGATGCTAACTCTGTGTTAGCGTAGGTGAGCGACATAGGTTACTTATGTACAGTATATCAGCGTATTATGTAGTAAATTGTCAGTTGTTGTATTTGTGACCTGCTCTTTATTTTACTTGAAGTCAGTAGAATTTGGGAAACGCAACTTTGATTTTAATATAACATCTAAATACATGTTATTCCTCTGTTTATTTACTATTTACCTTTTGAAGCCACAGGGTTATTTTGTGAGATATACTGCACTAGACTACGGTAATCCCTGTGGTTACTGAAGTAGCTCTACTCACCTGGAGTGCATGCAGATACACGCTGAGATTCACCAGCCTTTGACAGATCTCCTGAATATTAATAATAAAAAACACCAGCTGTAAGTCTCTAACACACTGAGACACACTGAGACACAAACACAGAGTGAATAGGGTTACAGACGACGACACACACACACACATACATATACACACATACCTGTGTATATCCCGACATGTGTTTCTGTGGGATTGTAAAACGCAGCCATGCAGATTAACCCATATCATCTTTTGTATGTCTGTGTGCGTACATCACTCAATACGTTTCTCATTAAACACTGCTGGACGAGTGCAAACCAGCAGAACACGACAACGTAAATGGTACGATTTATCGTCAGAAAGTCTTGTTCCATCATTATTACGAATGACGTTTAAATAAATTGCGTACGGAAACTAATTGGCGAAGTTAGCAAAGTGGGCGGACACGTCGTCACAAGGCGCTATACACAGAAGACGGCTTTGTTTACGTTCGCGGGGTTGTACGCCATACTTTGGATTGTGCTACATTTATTTTCGTCCGTTTGTATTGTTTTTTTTTTGTTTTGTTTTTTTGCGGCACTTTTTGCCCTTCATTTTGTCTCCCAGATGTAAGTCAAACTCTTTTTATGTCCTAGATTATGATGCTAACTCTGTGTTAGCGTAGGTGAGCGACATAGGTTACTTATGTACAGTATATCAGCGTATTATGTAGTAAATTGTCAGTTGTTGTATTTGTGACCTGCTCTTTATTTTACTTGAAGTCAGTAGAATTTGGGAAACGCAACTTTGATTTTAATATAACATCTAAATACATGTTATTCCTCTGTTTATTTACTATTTACCTTTTGAAGCCACAGGGTTATTTTGTGCGATATATTGCACTAGACTACGGTAATCCCTGTGGTTACTGAAGTAGCTCTACTCACCTGGAGTGCATGCAGATACACGCTGAGATTCACCAGCCTTTGACAGATCTCCTGAATATTAATAATAAAAAACACCAGCTGTAAGTCTCTAACACACTGAGACACACTGAGACACAAACACAGAGTGAATAGGGTTACAGACGACGACACACACACACACATACATATACACACATACCTGTGTATATCCCGACATGTGTTTCTGTGGGATTGTAAAACGCAGCCATGCAGATTAACCCATATCATCTTTTGTATGTCTGTGTGCGTACATCACTCAATACGTTTCTCATTAAACACTGCTGGACGAGTGCAAACCAGCAGAACACGACAACGTAAATGGTACGATTTATCCTCTACACACACACAAAAACTGACGTTGTTAATGTACAAGTGTGGTTTCATGTTCCTGAAGAACACAGCTCACCTTTGATGAACAGATATCATGGGCTCCGTTGATCAGAAGATCCTGCTGANNCAGAGGGGGAAAAAACAAAACAAATGTTACGAAACTAATATTTAGAACAATTGATTATCTTAAGGGATGCCCGATATTTGTAACCTTTTTTTGTAACTTAAGTTCCGATATCAACCGATACCGATACAGTGGGGCAGTGGTGGCCTGGTGGTTAAGGAATTTAAGTGCCACCTGTTGGATTAAAGGCAGCAGTGCTTCTAAATAATTTTCTGCTGTGGCCCCCTAGGGGACAGACGTTTTTTGACAGCCATTTTTCCCCCAAAACTATTTTTTAGGACACACCTCATTTGACGAAAACCCAGGCATTGCGTTATCGGGTTTTCATTATCGGAGGAAAGAACGTTAACGATTCTTACAGATATCGCATAATTATGCTAATATCGGGCCGATAATATCAGTCCGCCGATATTATCAGACATAATCTGGGAATAAATGTATAATGCGATACTAAAAGTACCTATAGATTCCGTATGCGTTCAATGACAGTAACATGTATACATTTAAATACTACTCACTTCAAATGTAAAATATTTTATAGAATCACCATCAGACCATGGAGGAGACTTACTGGTCTCTGCAGCCTCCTTGTTATTGTGATGCCACAGCAGAGGGATGTCCACTCTGGAGCCCAGTAGGAGTTCACTCAGTTTGTCCACTTACAAAGACACACACAAACACATACACACGCGGATTACAGAGATTGCAGTATCTTACTACTATTTTGGGTTAGAGAAGTTCAAAAAATCCCATGAACTATATTGATTTATTGGCCATAAGTACTGCTTTCTAAATATGCTAACGGAACAATAATAGCTAACGAGTTGCAGGAAGAAGGATGTTTTTTTATTTAGTTGCGACCATGTCAACTTCGGGCCAATGGAATTACTGACAGTTTGCGACACATCAAGTTCAGTGTCAGCTCCAAGGTTCCTGCTGCCTCTTAGTTGTGCGCAGTACTACCGGCCGGCTAGCTCACGTCTATTAGCTAAAGTCAGAAGATATCACAGTTATATCAGATGAACACAATCTAGGACAGCGGTTAACGTTGGGCTCTACTTTTTCTTATCCTTTCGCGTAGAAATAATGCCGAGATCGGAAGCACACCTTCAGCCGTAGCATCCAGCAGTAGTTTCTCCGCTTGTGGAGCTTGCGGTGTGTCCGCCCTGAACAGGTATCGAGTTAGAGGAGGCTGTAATTCCTCATGGCCACTGTTGAGTTCTGCCAGCTCACAGAACACCGTCACTCTCTCCTGCAGGAGCTCCAGCACTTCACGGTCCTTCTGCTGGAGGTCAGCTGCGGTGGTCAGAAATAACTGTAAATATTCTCATGTGGGTTGTTTTTTTTTTTAACAAGTTCAGCGCAGTTTCACGTCCATCATACACAAAACCTTATACTGCTCTCTTTGAATTCTAGTTAAGGAATTGAAAAACATTACTGTAATTCTGCTTTACGCAGATGATGAATAACTGTAAATATTCTCATGTGGGTTTTTTTTTTTTACAAGTTCAACATTACTGTAATTCTACTTTACGCAGATGATTATCCCGTTTAATTTTCGATATATTTGTATGAACTTTTGAGCATAGTCTCAATAGTCTCAATTGACTTGCCTAGCGACTGACACTAGTTACTTCAGCGATCTGTTTTGTGTCATTGTGCGTCTCCTCACCTTTGAGTCTCCTCAGGTGAGCCTTATGTTTAGTCTCTATAAGGGGGAACTCCTCTCTGGAAGGACAACTGAACACACAACAGCAGAAAACACAAACATATATCAACTAATATTTGTTTTACATTCAACCCTCTTTGTGTTTACAAACATCTAAAAATAATAATAATTGTCTGTAATTTATTCCGATTTATGCACATGCTAGTTTTTTTTTTGTTTATAAAATAGTTTAGGCAGGGCAACCATTGCCTCCACCCGGCTAACAAAACGACTCACTTGCTGACAGTGCGCTGAATGTGACGCATCCAAACGCTCTTGATCTCTTTGGAAGCGGCGTGGAACTCGTACATCTCCGGCGGAGAAGAGTCGCTAATGAGGAACATCCCTCGCTCCTGATTCGCTATATCTCGCACTATCAAGTTCTGAAGGGAAAGTACTGGGGGTTTATCCTGGATACAGACAGAAGGACAGTGGGAGTGGGTTTTTTTTTTAGTTGATAAGGCATCTGTAAAGTTAGTTTTTATTAGCTGATGTTCAGTGCGTAAGTTCCTATTCTTACCAGACTGGGGAAGACGTACCGCTGATCCTTTTCCTGTAGAATCACCAGGATGTCTGTCATCAGTAAGACCTGCACATCTTCACAGATGCACATCAGATCAGCCTCACTCTTTGGAATTCACTCACATCAGCCATGTACGTCCATTAGCAAGAGCGTGAAATACAAACTACCTTTGAGCCGAGATCCGGCGTTTTTCCATAAGAGCGCTCCGTCATGGATGAGTCTGCGACGCAGCAGTTCCACCGGCTTGAAAACTCTCCCGTCTCTAACTCTCGTTTCTGCTCTGGGATCCAGCTTGGCCTGGATTTCCTGCAGCCGTTGCGTTTTTTCCATGTCCTCTATCTGCGACCAGGATCCACAGCAAAAAAAAAAAAACAACCCAAAACGTTATTTTTAACTTATTTTTAAGCATAGGAGTGATCTTTTGTTTTTTTAATTCAGAATTATTAGCAGAAAGATTGTTGGTCTTTATCCAGACGGATCGGACTACCTTAAATTTGAGGGATGCCTTTATTAAAAAGAACACTGGCCACAAAATTGTTGCTAGCAATTCAGCGTTAGCCGTCAAAACTTTGTCAGGAACGAGAGCAAGAATTAAAAACATAATGTAAGTTTTAATCAGAGATCCGATCAGAGTCCGATATTAACTTTTTAAGGATATCCAATTCCCGATATTGCCCGAACACTTGATTTCCAATTCCGATTTCAACCAAATACCGACATAATTTACTTTCACTTTCACCTCAAAACTATTTTTAGGTCACATATCCTGGGCGAAACCCAGGCTTTGCGTTTTCGGCTTTCATTTTTGGCGGAATAAAAATTTAGCGATTCTTCCATAATTATGCTAATATCGTACGATAATATCTTGTCTAGGCTGAATCACATTTTATGGAGCGGTTTACCTGTTGGTCGACTGAACTCAGAAGTTCCCTCAGCATCCTGAGGGCCTCAGCCAGCGAAGCTGATTCTTCCTCATCATCTGAAAACAGAAAGAATTCTTTAAAATCTGCTCTTTAATAAATGAACGTACAGGAAGCTAAACAGGTAGACGTACGCAAACGATGAGAAGTCAGACAGAGAGAGATGGATAGAACAGGTAGACGTACGCAAACGATGAGAGGTGATAGAGATGGATAGAAAAGGGCTGATTTACCAGTGGTGTTGTCCAGTATTCGCTGAATAAGGACAGGATATTTGGAGATTCGCTGAGTCACCAACAAGATGCACTCCTGAACACCATGGCAACGGAGGAGAGGTCCTCGACTGACCCGCTGATTTACGTTAGCCAAAGAAAACAAAGATTTTTTCTGATCAGTCAAAGCATCGTCAACTTACTGTTTAGAAAAAAAAAAAAAGTGCGGTTTTGCGATTCTAATCGCAGATATCTCACCCGTATAAAGCACTGGAACCGTTTGTCTCTCGCCAGCAGTTCTTTGTAAACTTTCAGAGCTTTCGGGTGGCGGCTGCAAAACTCAGTGTACGTTTTTCTCATGTCGTCCGCGCACTGGCCCGAGAACTGCGAAGAAAACGACGATGTAACAATAACTTATTGACAGTTGTTTACATGAACTATTTTACAGATTCACATGTTTGTGTTCATCGTTCGAAATAAAATAAAATGGATCGTTAGGTTAGGGCAGGCGTGGGCAAACTTTGTGGCCCGCGGGCCACAATTGGTCCTAAAATTGAACAGGTGGGCCGGGTCAGGAGCAGATAGACGCAGCGTTCGTGTGAATTAAGATAAATGACATGTAAAAGTCATGCTAAATGCTAAAATGCTTTTATTATTTTCTATGCCATCTATTGGGGATACATAGGTATTGCAGGGAAAAGGCAGAAGTATAATGATAATATAAATAAATTATATCATTTGGAAAAGTTTGGCGGGTCGGAGTGTAGATAGTTTGCGGTAAATTGTTGTGTACTGTTGAACATGTCGGTGTACTCCTTAAATTCCTTAACGTCTGGGAAAATGGTACAAAATCAAGTTTTCAAAAATCAAAAATAACTCTAACCCACAAAAATAAACCAGTAAAATAAATATATTAAGTATGGGGAAACTATGCACAAGAAAGAAATCCAACTGGCTTCCTGTTCAGGTTAAAAAAAAAACAAAAAAAACTCTTGTTTTGTGAGTTCGTACGTGTACCTGCTGTAGAAGCACATCCCCCAACTGGTGAATAGTGAAGTTGCAGCTGGACCCGGGCTGCAGGCTGTTGTTGCGACGCAGAAGCAGCTGCGAGAGAAACTGACAGTGTATTCTGATGAGCTGGTCTAAGCAGGGGAAGACCGCGTTGACCGTGCTGAGCTCCAGCTGCAGTTCATCCAGCATGCCCTGCTGGAACACCCTCTCCATGATGTAAAGGGTTCGCATGTGGTGCAGCTCTGTCTGAATCAGCTCTGATACACACACACACGCCAAAATCACATTCAGGACTGAACTGGTGATTCAAACATTAATTAAAAGGGTGATTAGCATGATGCTTAAATTTAATGAGTCTATGTTGTATGTAGGGAGGTGTATTGTATATTGTGATAGGTAGGTAGGTCGATAGGTAGGTAGGTAGATAAGTCGATAGGTAGGTAGGTTGATAGGTAGGTAGGTAGATAGATGGGTAGGTAGATAAGTAGGTAGGTCGATAGGTAGGTAGTTTGATAGGTAGGTAGGTTGATAGGTAGGTAG